GGGCGCGCGGGCCTTCCGAGTTTTGTGACAAAAAGCCGTTGTTTACTGTGGAAAAACTCAGCGCTTCCTTGGGACACCCCTCCTGACTCAGCCCCAGAGCAGGATCCTGCAGCCGTCCCGGAGCACCAGGGCACTGGGGCATGCAGAGCCGGCTCTGCATGAGGCTCATCCCTGCGGAGGTGCTGGCCTGAAGCCAGTGGCCAGATGGGGCTTTTCCGGGAAGCTGGGGGCCATGCACGATGGCAGAGCCCAGTGGACCCTGAGTTGTCCAGCCTCTCTGAATGCAGAGCCAGCAAAATTGAATTTTAAACAGCTGCTCAGCTGCAAATCAGAGCATCCGACAGCCCCGCTGCTGCTGTGAATGCGATGTTAAAGTATGGCCGCAAATCTCACAACGCTGTCTCCTTCCCCGGAGACTCGCATTGCGTTCATAAATAGATCCAGAGATCGATACTCCCCTTGGATGCAAACGCCAGGAGCGAGCTAGTGAGGGCGCTTTGGTGTCTCCTTGCCTCCTGGGTGCAGGGCGCAGCAGAGGTTTTGCTGCCTGCCCAGTTCCACATCGCCTCGTGTCACCCCACGTTGCCCCATCCCACGCATGTCTCTGCTCCCTTTGGCACAGGGAAAGGCTCTGGGGGTCGCTCTGGAAGTGCTTGATAACTGCAGGGCAGGGAATTGAATTATTTAGCATCTCTACTCTTTAATAAACTGAATTACATATTTTTTGATTAAGAGCACCCACTAAATAATTCACTGCTTTGCATTTCTCTGTTTGACTGACTGTTATGGTGAATTACCCAAAGAACAAGCAAATCTGCTTGTCAGGGGCTAAATTATTTATTCTCACTTATATTTTTTCAGGGTTTTTATTATGTGCAATAAAAGAGCCGCTAAAGAGCTGGCCAAACAATGTCCATGGCTGAAAGACCTCCTTTGGCTGTACACCTCTCCAAAGGGATTTTCTGGAGTTGCAGCAATGCTCAGTGGTGAGATGGGATCCTGCCTGGCCTTCCCTGGGTGCTCGGGGCACATTGCACCATGGTAGCAGCAGGGTTGCGGACAAT